GGTTGGGGGGCAGGGTGCTCCAGGCTGGGAGTGCAGCCATCATGTTGCCTGAGCACCAGAGCTAAACTCAGGCAATTTATTCCAAAGGTCTTTGATAGTTGGTCTGTGGAGAATCCAGTAGACGTGAGTCTCTCTCCAGGTGGTAGCACCTCTCTAAAGGCCTCACAGCCTCAGTGAATTTGTCTAATTACCCGCACGGTCACAATTCCTGGAAGGCTGAGGTCTCCCTGCCCCATGGAATTTCATACACATTGGGTGTGTCTAAACTACATGGCTCCATCGATGGAGCCATGTAGTTTAGACACACCCAATGTGTATGAAATTCCATGGGGCAGGGAGACCTCAGCCTTCCAGGAATTGTGACCGTGCGGGTAATTAGACAAATTCACTGAGGCTGTGAGGCCTTTAGAGAGGTGCTACCACCTGGAGAGAGACTCACGTCTACTGGATTCTCCACAGACCAACTATCAAAGACCTTTGGAATAAATTGCCTAAGGGCTTTCATGTCGACAGGGGAGCATCCAGACTGCCCCAATCTGCCGACAAACAGCTGATCGGCAGAGCGGGGCAGCCATTTAAATTTAAATGAAGCCGCGATTATTTAAATCACAGCTTCATTTCCCTTTGCTGAACAAACAAATCTACATGGCTCTGTCGACGGAGCCATGTAGTTTAGACGTACCCTTTCTGTCCCACAATGATACATAAACTTAATGCAGTAAGATCTCCCAAACATCACTAGTCACTTTGGAAAAAATAAGGCCACAAGATCTTGTTGGGAGCAAGACACGAGAAGTCATTCTTTTGCTCAACTCTGCACTGATTAGGCCTCAGTTGGAGTACCGTGTCCAGTCCTGGGCACCACATTTCAAGGAAGATGCAGAGACATTGGAGAAGAGCAACATGAATGACTAAAGGTCTAGAGAACATGAGCTATGAGGGAAGGCTGAAAGAATTGGGCTTGTTTCGTTTGGAAGGGAGAAGACTGAGACGGGACGTGATAGCAGTTTTCAGGTATCTAAAAGTGTGTCACAAGGAGGAGGGGGAAAACTTGTTCTCCTTGGCCTTTGATGATAGGATAGGAAGCCATGGGCTTAAACTGCAGCAAGGGAGGGTTAGGTTGGACATTAGGAAAAACTTGCTGTCAGGGTGGTTAAACACTGGAATAAGTTGTCTAGGGAGGTTGTGGAGTCTCCATCTCAGGAGATATTTAAGAGCAGGTCAGACAGACATCAGGGATGATCCAGACGGTGCTTGGTCCTGCCGTGAGGGCAGGGGACTGGACCTGATGACCTCTCGAGGTCCCTTCCAGTTCTAGAGCTGCTAAGCTGATGCGTCCCATTCGTGGGCTGCCCCCCAGACTTGCCATGGTCGCAAGGGCCAGCACGGGGCGCCGGTGTCACGCCGCAGAGCCGGGGCCAGCGGGCGGTGGGGCTCTCAGAGAGGAGGGGCGGTGCCCCGAACCATGCAAGCACCCACCTGCTGAGCTGAGCCTGCAGGAGCTCCAGCCTGGATTCTAGGGGCCCCGGCGTGCAGGCCGGGGGGCAGTGGACCAGGGATGCGTGCTGCAGGGGTGCGGGGTGGGCATGTGGCTGTCGGTCCTCCCAGAAGGCGAACATGTTCGGAACATCCACGGGGGCGGCTGCAGAGAGGAGAGATCACAGTGGTGGTTGGAGCAGACCTGCTATGCCCCCCCAACCTCCCCCAGGAATTCCTGGTCAGCGGCCCCC